TAGAGGGATGCCTTTTTCACCACAACCATGCCTGCATTCGTTGCTATTTGATTTCTCAGCTACCCTCTTCTGTTTCCTGGCCTGCCTCTCATGCTGGACTAAGAAATAACATCCTAAGCCTTTAGGCCATACTTTTCTTTTGGATTCCTTGGTTCAATAGGGGTCCTAGCCCTTGTTTGTGATAAAACTTATCGAGTAAATATTCTGAGATTCTGAGTATTTGTAATTACTTGTTTATGCTTCCAAAAAATACTGTAATGTAAAATATGTGTTGGATTTTCCATGACTCTTATTTTGCCACTGTGCATTCCAGCCTTGTAAATATGGAGATAAGGGAAAGTATGGATGCCAGTGATCAGGGAGTAGGGGCTAAGGGCCAGGTCCACTGGACTTCTTGGCCTCATTGTTCTCATCTCTGCACAGGCTGCTTGTGGACAAGAATAATCTAAGCAGATCAGAAATAATTGTGCTTCTTTGAGTAAAAGTACAACTGACTGCTTTTCTTTCTTCATAGTCTGTAGAAAATGAAGATCCCATAAAGATAATTTCTGAGTGTGGTAAGAATCAATTGTTATAGGTATTCAAGTGATGTAATTAAGGTATAACTAACTCAGAAAAGTTGGCTACTCAGTCATTCACTGTACAATGTTATTGCTGCATTTTATATGTCACTTTCATACACATTATTGCACTTGATTCTTGTAACATCTCATTCTGAGCTGTGACAGTCTTGTTATCCCACTGGATATATGAGAACTCAACTTTTTAGAGACTTCCAAGATCACACAGGACTGGAGAGACAGTATAAAGATTATGTTGAAATCTTCTCATTGTATTATTCCAGCCTGCTAGACAATGTGCTCACAACTCTCGCTGTTCTTTTATAGACAGGGTTTACCAGAGAAGCATCTATGGCAAAGAACACTGGTTAAATGTCAAGGAAGGTGTGGAAGGACGGCTGCAGGAGAGGAATATGGAAGGTGATGGATGCTTAGGGACTAAGAAAGGGAAGCGCTACAGGGAAAGGAATGTAGGGGAATAATACACACACTGCCTTTGGAATGAAGACCAGGTCAAGTCACTCCCAAAGGAATGCTCTATTTTTATCTAATCTGCTTTCCATGTAAAAGACCTTGAATTTCTAATGGTGATTTTTTTCTGTTAATTTTTGCATTAAGCAAAGACTGGAGCATGGTTGGTAGGCGTGGTTAGGCATGGAGGGAGTAGGTTGGTGAGTACAGCTTGCACATTGCTCAGGGTGAATCTCTATTTCAGTCCTGAAAATCAATCCCAAATCTCTCTCCATCTAACAGATTGATAGAAGCATCAAGAGAACATACCTGAGATGATGGAAGTGGAAAACTACAGAAATTTCTGGATGTTTCATTCAAACAAATATTGGAAGAAAAATAACCATGAAAAAAGAGGCACAAAGCCTCCCTGAACATGACTCATGACATGATTCATAACAATGAGGGTCTTACCAAACATTCCAAACTATACCTATTTGGAGACCTTTGCAAAGACCTGACACTAAGAGGTTGGTCATATCCCCTATCCTATCCCCAGGCAGAAAGGGCTGGGGACAGATGAAAAGTTTAGCTACAGTTAGTAATAATTGCATGTTCCAAACCTCATCCAACAAAAAGTGAGTCCTAACTTTACTGGCACAGAGGGTTCTTAGTTTGTCAAGAATCCTGTGATCTCAAACTGCAAGAAGAGACAGAAAGTGTGTGAGGATATTAAAGGATGACAAGTTATTCTCTTTCATATAATCACCTTTTATTTCGCCCATCATTTTGAGATATATTCTGGAAGGAAAAAAAACTAGGAATGATTTTCCTATAGCTAGCTATATGGTGCAATTTAAAGAAACAAGTTTTATTGTGTTCATGAAAGTCCTATCTAATCTTCTATAACCTTTTTTTGAAGCAAAGTAACATAGAAAGAATGACATTATTATACCCATTAGGTAAAAGGGAAGCATTGAAGTTATGTTTCTATAAATAAACTTAATTTCTATTAACCTTCCAAGGCTTTTTGTTCTGGCAGGTTGCTTGCCATAGATTTAGGGAAGAAGTTAACATAAAATAACCATGAAGTCAAACTTCTCATTCTACCAACACACCAAGCCTTTCTATGCCAACCCTAGGGTTAAAATAGGAAAGGATTTATTGTAGATTTTAGCCCAGACCTGTCATTATAGAGACACTGAGGCCCTGAGATCTTAGGTGGAATGGATGGTGTCACACCGATAGTGGCAGTGTCATGACCAGGATTCAGCACTGCTGACATTTGCACTGAGACTTTTCCTGGTAACACTGCCCAGCACTCTTCTAAGCCGAAAATCTGTGCAGCTTCAGGTGGGAAGGGACCTGGACAATTCTGGTGCACATGATGTTGGTAGTTGTTCTGTGTTGTCAGCTGAGCACATGTTTAAAGAGCCAGCTTTACTCTAGTCTCCCTCTGTATGGTTTGGGAAAAGCAGAACCCACCTCCAACTTTAAAGAAAGGTGTGTTATCCAGCTCTGGCAAATCGGAGTTCTTAGCTCCCATATCTGTGCATTCAACCAACTGTGGATCAAAAACTTTCAGAAAAATAAATTGCGTTTATTCTGAGTATGTGTGGACATTCTCCATGTCATTGCTGCCTAAACAATATAGTATGACATTATTTAAATGTCAGTTACATTGTGTTCAATTTCCTAAGTCATCTAGAGATGCTCTGAGGACTGGGGCAGGTTCAACAAAACACTGCACCACTTTACAGAAGGGACTTGAGGACATGCAGCGATGAGCCTGCCCCTCACCACTTTGCTTTCCATACCCCACACATGATTTTACAACCTAAGGAGCATGCATAAAAATGGGAATGTACTTAATGCCACTGAACTGTCCACTTAAAAATGGCTCAAATGGAAAACTTTGGGTTATATTACCGCAGTTGTTTTCAAAAAGGTAAGGGAGATGGTCTTGACTTCTCCCCTCTCCCTCCCGCTGGCAGCAGTCAGTGAGGTGCCATCTGGCCTCACTTCCCATTTGCCTCCCTGTGCTCTTTGCTGCAGCAGCAAACCCGCCAACACCCCTGCCTGGAGCTGGAGCGTGTCTCTGCCTGCACCACCTGCTCCTGGGGAGAACTCACTGCTCCGGACTCCTCATGCTTGAGCTCTCACCCAAAAGCCGTCTCAGGAGCTGCCTTCATCCTCCCAGCTTGTAGAGCAGGCTACGCTGTGATTCTTTTCTACTGCTTAACAAATATTAGCCATTCCTGACCCCTCAACATTTTCATTTTCTATTTTCCAAAGGTCAGGTCAGTTTACCAATAGCCAAGTGCAATAATGTGTCCTTCTTCTGCCCTGCCCCCACTCCTGATTTATAGATACAAAGCTTTCTCACAAAAGACTGTAAGTTGCCGTTTGATACTCCTGGCTTCTCACCCTCTGCCAGTCTTCTCCCTGAAGAGCATCCTGTCCTCCTGCCTCACAGTGGCCAAGCTGAAATGACCTTGTTTTGGTCCCACTGAGGACAATGTTATGCCACTTTATTAAAAAAAACCTTTGAGAATTGGCAGATTTTGTTATCTGCAAGAGATGACCGTGTGTAATGAAAGAGGTTTTCTTCTGACTCTGCCATAGATCTAATAATTTTACACTCAAGGAATAAAACTTTCTTTATACCTTTTAAAATATTCTTCAGAACCTAGGATGTCAAGGTCCAATTTTAGTCAAAGTCTCACCTTTCCTCAAAAGCATATAAGTTCTCCTCTAACTGGAGCATATGCCAGATGAAAACTTATAGACTGGAAGAATGAAAAACTTGCCCTCTCTTTGTATGTCTCTCTGCTCCCACTCATACTTCACCTTTTTCCCTAAATGGCTGAACATTTTAGTCAAATCTGAGGTCGAAGTAAGGTCGAGTGGAAGTCGTGGAAGAAAAATGGTGGCCTGAATGTTCTTCTTTGACTGTACTGCTGTGATTTGTCCATATGCACATTTGCTTTCTCTTGTGAGCATTTCCATTGGTTCTTGAGAGATCTCCAAAGTTGGGATTTGTGTACTACCTGTGTCCTCAATCAAATGAATGTTTTTTATTACACCTAGAAAGTTATTCCTTCCACCACCATAAAACACCTGTAACTCAATCTATTTGGCAGAATGCAAGGTGATGACCCCGACAACTCTATTATATATATTTCCTATCCATAGTCCTTCATGGGCTGAATTGGGTGAAGGCCATGATAGAAGTGACTAAGATAAAATGAGGTCATATAGGTGAAACTCTGTCCACTGTAATGATTTTCCATTTTTTGGATCTATTTTCCTAAGAGAGCCTCTTAATAATTCTCAACTGAGATTTGCTATATTTAGTTGAATGCACTGTTTAAACGTGCAAGTTTGTAATACAATTTCCTGAAGTTACTCACCTCTTAATCCATCCATAAGCATTATAATTTAAGAAGTTCTCTGTCTCTCTCTTTTTTTTTCTGGTACTAGGGATTGAACTTGGGAACTTGCCCCTGCAAGGCAGGCAGTAGCACCACTGAGCTAAAACCCTAACCCTAAAAAAGTATCTTTTATAGAGTGCCATTTATAGCATTAACTAATATCCTGAGCCGAGCAAGATGAGTGTTTGTGTTACATTTTTACATTGATCATGCTATCAAACATTTTAAGTGTTTACTACATGCCAAGAATTCTTAAAAATCATTATTTTGCATTATCTCATTTACTCCTACCACATTTTGAAGTACAGACTATTTTTATTCCCATTTTACAGATGAGAAAAATGTTTAGAGGTTTACTGATGTTATGTAAACTCACAGTCTATGGCTGACCAGATTAACCAAACTCCAGTCTGTCTGCTAAGGAAGATGTTACACTCCTTTTTTGGACCTTCTTCTTCTCCCGTGGTTTTGGCCTCATGAATATTTCCCTAATCTCTCTTGTCAGTATCAGGTAAATCATAGCACAATCACAGATGAACAAACAAATTCCAGTGGATAAGCACAATGAAAGTTTATTACTCTGCCATAACATCTCATGTGGGTATGTCACCCTTCCTTTGTCTTATAGTCATGCCATCTGGAATGAGGGAACTCCAAGGTAAGCACTTCAAAGGTAGAGTTGGGGTGGCCGGCAGACAGTGATAGATACAATAGCTTTTATCATCCTAGAAGAAATGAGTGATGTATACAATCTGGCTTACAGAAATCTTATCAGCTTTATAACTCTTGCCACCATCGCAGGACAATGCTACATATTTCAAAGCAAATAGAAGAAATATATTTTGCTAAATATTACATAAGCTTAGGCACTTGTTGATTAATATTTTTGATCATTCCATCACTATGGCAACAACAGCCCACAAAATACAGATAAAATTATCAAAAGAGTTAGAAAGAGAAATCTTTGGGTGATGCTATATTAGGGTTCTTTGGGTGTTCATTTCTCATTGTGAGTACTTCAATTCTTGTGAAGTATAATATCTAAAATCAACTCAATCTATTTGTTTCTGTGCCTTCAATGCAAAATATGACACAGAAACCTGAGAATAATAATGTCCAGTATCTACACGTCAAAATAACAAGATTCCATAAATCCTCAAAAGTAATTTGGAAAGGATTTAGAAACCTGTATCAACCTAACTGGTATATAGTCACAAAAGCCCTGTAACAAGTTCCAGGATATATAAATATATATATAAAAATCCTATCCTTTAGTAAGAGTAATACAGGATACCAGAAAATTACCTAAGTATAAGTATGAGTATAAGTAAGAGGAGAAGAGAAGATATTACTCTGAAAATTGTTTGCCCATATTAATTATGACAGTTCTATTGGGATGTCTAACCCCTTACTTTTTAAAGTGTTTTCTTAAACTAAATGACAGCTATGTCTATGGACCAATAGGTGTGTCACTAGGTAGTGTGTGTGTGTGTGTGTGTGTGTGTGTGTGTGGGTATGTGTGCATTCTGTACAATTTTTAATTCTGCTAACAACACGAGGAAGTGAAGAGAATTATATAATGAGAGTAACTAAAGTGGGAGGAGGGTAGGTTAGTCCTTCAAGGTCACAAGCCCAGTAGGTTGTGAAATGGCCTAACAACCCCGGTTGAAATGACTTCAAAGGGAGCTCTCCTCATCAGATTTCAGAGTGAGCTTAAGACCTCCTGCAGCATCTCTTCAAACACACACAACACCCCTGGCCATGCTCTATCAGGATGAATCAGCGCAGCATTAAGAGGACAAGAATAACTACTGGGTAACAGGAGTTTGGAGTTTTTCTCTCCTTTCATCAGAGGCCTGAACAAGATCAGGCCAGTTTACTAAGGGTGACAGGGTGTATTAATCTGCACTTGTATGTTTTCACTCCACTAACTAATTCATCCCTTTACTCATTCATGCATTTGCCTATTCATTTGTTAACTCCACGGTCTCTCCTCTCACTTTTGCCCTCTGCCTGATTGTTCTTTTTGTTGTCTTTCCCTTAGTCAAACCTCCACATCCAGATGCATTAAAAGAGTATTTTTTCCCAGCCCTGTGAGTAATGGGAAGTCCAGACCCACACTACCATAACCTTTCCTTAACAGGACAATGGGACAACACTAGCTGAGAATAAAACACTTGGAATCATTTCCTCATCAAGAGCCTGGTTTTATTTCAATTGAAATCTTAAAGATGGGAAACTAGGCTTGAGTTCAAATCCTGGTTCTACCAATTCTCATCCTGTGACCCTGTTCAAATTTAGTCCAAGGCTGTCACTGTAATGTGAGGGTAAAGATGCTACCCAGATCCACAGCTGAGGAGGTCCTATGGGATCCTGCAAAAAGAATTAGATGACATGGAAAAGCACATGTCAGTTGCCACCAAGAGTGCCAGGGGCATAGCAAAAAAGAAAACTGGCATTCCATGGTCTTCCTGAGCATAGGCACAAATGGGGGGAGGTGAGAAAATACAGATGTAAAGAAATACATAATATTTTCACTAGGTATAAAGGCTAGAAAGACACAGAAAGGAGAATAGTTAAGAGTAGCTGTAGAATGTTTGGAATGCTCTTGAAATGCAAGGAAGAAAATCATCTTTTCTTTCTAACCAGATTAGGTTCATTAAATGAGGCCTTTGTAGCCAGAGACAGATTAACAAGAGAAAACCATCTAAATGTATTTAAGTATTTCATGATATAGGACCCTTCCTTAGGAAATGACAAGGAAACACAGTGAAACCTGAGTGCTTTTATGTAAGGTTTGATAAAGAATGAAGAGTTGAGGAAAAATATGATTAGGGGGTAGGAGCTGGGGGTAATAAGTGAGGGGTAGGGTCATCTAGACCTGTACTTTCACATTCCTCTTGCTGCCCCTCATGCTAGAGATAAGGTTGTTCCTTTCCTCCAGGGATAAGAAGAGCTTCTCAGATGAGGGAGTCATGACCTAAATCAAGGGCAGCAACACTCAGAGACACCTTCCTGAAGAGGTTGTTTCTCACATTCCTTTGGCTTAAACATTTGATCTACCAAGGTGCCAAATTTAGTAAGAATGTGTTTTGAAACAATGTGATTGCTAATACATCTCCATCCTGTGGGTTCCCCTTCAGATTTATTAGAAAGCCAGATCTCCCCATTTATCTCCAAAAGCAGCAGTCTACAAATGAGAAATTTAAAAATTCTGCCTTAAAAAAGTAGACATTTGGATCAGTGCTGCCCACCCTCTTTTATCACGTATGAATAAGACTTACCGACATCCTTGAATATATCTGACTGGGTGTTTTTTGTTTCATGAATTTCTCCCTACACTTCCTCCTTCATTTAAATTGGGAAGTTGTAAAGGATACTTTCATTACAGAAGAGGCCTTAGAGTTTGAAGGCTTCATATCCATATTTTCTAGACACTAGAAGGTACGCGTGGTAACAGATCTGAGCTGGGATGTTCTTCGCACCATTCTTTCCACCCACTGGGGAAAATGACTCCCAGATTTGCTGCCACTGAGTCATGATAGTCAACCTGAGCTCTTGCCCTAAGGGTTTCACTCTTGCTGGAAAAATCCCATAACCCCATGACAACAGCAGTCTCCAGAGTAAAAAGAGATATTTGGCACTGGTTCCCATGGGCTGCTTATTCCGTTCCCACCCTGATTGGTAGCTACTTGTGAAGCCTCCTATACTAAAAATAAAATGCCCCTTAATCTCTTCCTCATTTCTTCTTCTATCAAGGTACTGTGACAACAGTTTTCAGCCTGTGAGGGAGGCTCAGTGAGTCCTGGGGACTCAGAAACCAGTTCCCTGCACTGTTTGCCTCGGCTCACATTCCTCACTGACCTTTATTGGGCAACACATACCAATACCACTACCCACTAACCATGCTTGGCCTCCTATTGCCACTACACCAAAAATGTATTTAATTTGAGTCCCACTCCAAAGACAACTCAGCCTGTGTAGACCCAAATGATACTAAGGTCATTTTCCATTTTGTGTGATTGTTTTTTCAGCTCAAATTTAAAATACTGCTTTCTAAAATATTATTCTGGGCTGGGGATTGAGCTCAGTGGTTCTAGCGCCTGCCTCGCAAGCGTAAGGCCCCGAGTTCGATCCCTGGTACCAAAAAAAATTAAAATATTATTCTTAGACTTACCAGGATAGAAACCTACATGGACAAAGTAATATTTCCCTTCTTAATGCCCTGGTACTGGTTTGCAGCAACTGCCCCACAAGGCTCTCTGGACAGAGCAGGGCAGGAGCTAATTATGAGGCAAAGCAAGGCATAAATGGACCCGCCAAGGACAGCCCCCTTTCCCTCCAGCTCCAACCAGGGCAGCATTACATTTACCTGTGTACATATTGTGCTTAAACATCAGGGTTGTAGTTGAAAAAGGGTTAAAAAATGTTTCACTACTTGTGACCTAGGCTTTCAATAGATCTCAAAATTTCCTAGTGATACATCTCAGCATGATCTGGATCTTCTTCATACCAGATTTACATCTCAAATCAAGGCTCAAGAGTTTGACTTCACCCTACATTTCTTCATTCAGCAGATAATATTTAAAAAACAGTCTTTGTACAAGTCAATCTAAGCATGACAGAGCACTTCAAATCATCCACAAACAGGAAAGAAAAATGCAGATCTTCCATCTTTTATTTGAATGTTTTAATGCTACTTTTTCCAGGGACCAGATATAGGTCCCCAAAGAAGTGCCCCCCAGGAGACTTCAGAGGTCTCATGTCTGCCTGGGCATCACTGGGTCCCTGAGCTCTGCTCTGCACATCAAAGTCTGAAAAACCCACAGGGTCACTAACCTCAAGTTGGTAAAATCATTTAGTTTATGTCAGGTGAGAAGACATTTCTCACATGCACTGACAGATTCCAATGTGTTTAAATTTCCCATTTTTTGCAGAGGATAGGTCTCCTGGAGCGGGTATTAAGCTCAGTCTCCTATCCCACCATAACAAGATAGGATGAGGTAGGGGTCAGAGCAGCAGCGGAACAGAGCTAAAGGCACCAAGAAGCACATGACCTCGTCTGGGTATCTGCACAGTCTCTCTGCACAGGTGTGTGCCAATGATACTGATGAGCCCTCATTGTCCACCTGGAATCCTCTCTACCTCAAGTCACCATTGCTAAAGCTATGCTTCTCAGTTGTCCTGTGCAGGCCAGTGTCTGAAGACATTTTTGGTCACTATAACTTGATGCAGAACGCTATGGCAAGCTGGTAAATTGGAAAATACCCTCAAATGCACAGGACAGTCTCCAAAAACAAAGAATTATCTGCCCAAAACTTTCACATGTGTCAAGATTGAGAAAACTAGCTTTAAAGAGATGTTTGGAAAGACATTTGTAGGAAGAGGTTTTCATAGCCACGTTCTCTCTTTATAAACATTTTAATTAGATTTGTGCTGGAAATTTCTTCTTGCTGGTTTGCAAAATGTTCTGTACATCTAAATTTGTCTTCCCTTCAAGACCCAGTGTCCTTCGCTATGGATCTCTGGCCAGGGCAGCACATCATGGTGAGTGCTGTGGTGACAGGAAGGAGGTGACACTGGGGCACAGTGGCCTCAGGGATCTGAAGATCTCCCACTAGGCCCCGGTTCTAAAGGCTACAGCACCTCCCGGTGAACCCATGTTGGAAACTGAGCCTTTAGCACATGCAACTGTGGGGAGCACTTGTTTAACCACAGCATAGGCAAAGGCTCTTCCTGAGCTCCAGTGGACTAAAGGTAGATCCTCCAAAAGGAATTCAGTGTTCATGAATCCCCTGCCCAGGAAGTTTATCAACTAAGGGAGACCAACTCAGATCGAAAGAGAGGATTTCTGACTGTGAGACCACGCACAGATTTTCACCTGTCCAGGCAACTTCCACAGGTCCTTTACTACATAAGACACCTTTCATTTGCAACACAAGACATCATTTACTCACCACGCATTTCATCTGCTTGCCTTCCCATAACTTTTGTCACCTCCAATCTCTAGAAGCCTTCAGCCTCCAATCCTCTCTGTTCTTCAGGATGCTTACAATATCTTCAATCATCTGAACCTGTATTTGTTTGCTATGGATGCAGTAACAAAGTACCACAAACTGGGAGGCTCAAACAGAAATTTATTGTTTCACAATTCTAGAGGCTAGAAACCCAACATCACAGAGTTGGCTAGGTTAGTTCCCTTAGCGCTGTGAATCTGTCTCAGCCCCTTCTCCTAGCTTCTTGAAGTTTACCGGCGTATTTTGTACTCTTTGACTTGTAGACACAGTATCCTGCTTTCAAGTAAGGACTCACTCATATCAAATCAGAGCCAAACCGAATGGTCTCATGATCACGAATTCCATTTGCAATGAGCTGATTTACCAGTGAGGTTCCATTCTGAAGTACTGGAGATTAGCATTTCAGCATATGAATTGGAGAGCAAACACAATTCATCTCACAACAGATGGGTAAGCTGATCACTACAGTTGTGTAATGATAAAAGAGAGCAGGAAGTCCTGAGAGCAGAGGAGGGCTTCTTACCTCAGACTCGACACAGTGGAAAGAGGCATGAGGGGAGACACCACAGCAAAGGTGACCCTCAAGCTTAGCCTGAAGATGCTGTCCATCAGGACACCTGGTCCACACCACTGCCCTATACTCTAGGCTGCTTTTTATTTTAGTTTCTCTGTAAACCTAATCAGCATCTCCAACAACTGAAATGTAATATATCTAATTCCTAGCTACACCTCTAAACATGCTTGGCCTACAATGTTTATGTCTCTATTTTTCCTTATATCTCAGATTTCCAACACAATGTCTGATTTTTATCTACCTCTAAATTATTTTCAGAATCTAGCCACTTTTTACAACCTCTGCTGACACTACTCAATGTCCCCTACAAGTGATGGTTCATTTTTAAATGGTTTGGCTTAACATTGGTAAAAAACAACATGCATAAGTAGGAATTACACTTAGGGTTTTAAATTTTGATCTTTTCCAGGGTGAGGTGCTGTGGCAGGAAGCTCTCTTCAATGGTTGGTATCAGTAGTGATCAGCAGCTCCCATCAGCCACAAACACCCAAGGGGAAGCCGCCCATACTCCACAGTGCCCTGAGTGTCTAAGGTGCGATGCCTGGTAGGTTAAGGGTATTAAATGCATTTTCTATTTATGATGTGTTCATCAGAATGTACCCCCAGTGTAAGGAGAAGAGCACTCGTGTTTCACTCTGTGTTCCTTTCATCACTGGAGGGGATGATCGCAATAGATCCTGACTGTAATTCCTGCTCCACCCTTCTTCCCCACTCCAAGCTGTCCTCAAATCAGCAACCAAAGTGATCTCATTAAAATGCAAATTTAATCATATTCTTCTTTCCTCTACATTGTCTAATGATTTCTCATTCACAGTAAAAACCAATGTTGAATCTGCATTGCTTTTCTTGCTATATTCCTATGCTAATCCTACTCCAGCTGCCAGGGTCCCTGCTTTTCCTCAACAAAGCCAGATACAAATCAACCCCAGAGCCTTTCCTCTGGATCTTTTCTTTTCCTTGATCATTCTTTCCTCAATGTTCATGGTTGCCCTTGTTCATTTCCTTCAAGTCTTTGCTCAAATGTCATCATCACAATACAACCTGTACTGGCAACACAGATAAATATGTGACATTGCCATCAGGCCTTTTAGCTGTTCCTTACCTTGCTCATGTTTTTTGCATGAGATTTATCTCCTTTTACCATGCTTGATTTGGTTTTGACCTTAAACATCCACCAAAGGCCAGGTGTTGAAGACAAGGTTGCCAGCATGTGGAGCTATTAGGAAGGGATGGACTCCCTAACAGATGGGCCTAGTGGGAGGAAGTTAGTCACTGGGGTGTGGTCTTGAAGTGGTTACTTGGACCTCAGCCCCTTCCTCTCTCTCTTCTTTTTGTTTTCTGGTGGCCATGAGGTGAACTGTCTTCCTGCACCACACACTCCTGCCATGAGGTACTGTGGCCCACCATGATGACTGTGCTTTCCTTGGCCCTGAGTAGTGACTATGAACTGAGACCTCTGAAACTGTGACCCAAAATAAAAGAAGTCTTTCTTCCTTTTAGTTGCTTTTCTCAGTTGTTTTGTCACAGTATCAGAAAGTTGACTAGCATGATACTTTACTTTTTTTTAATGTTATTTCCTTTTAAAGCTTATTTTTCTGTGTAATCTCCAGAAGGAACAGGACTTTCATCAGTTCTGTTCAATACTGTGTTTCAGCATCTCCAAAAGTACCTGGAGATGCTTAATAATATTTGATAAAGAAAGTATGAGACTTGACACACTCACAGTGACCAGCTTAGACATGTGGGTGGAGAAAGAGGTTCCTGGCCGCATGGAGTCCCACTCCATCCAACCTCTGCCATACCCACCCATGACCAGCTGGATGGTGAGGACCCCTCACCACTTGCCACACTCCCAGTGGCCAGCTTAGCCTGCAGCCCCCCTCCTCTGCCTCTGGCCTCTTGGATGTGCCACTAACTGGTTCCACACTACAAAGGCACAGGGGGGCACAGAGGCCTTTGTCCTGAGCTCCAGAATGTAGAACAGAAGTGAACAACAGATAGAGGGGCTCTCTTAGGCTCCTTGATGAAAACTGAAGCCCACTGGAAAACTAAAGAGAACCTCTGCAATAAAGGCACACCAGACAACCATACTTGGTAAGTTGGAGAGAACATTACCTCCCATCGGGAACTGGACGATCTTCAGGGGAAGGGCAGCTGGAACTTGCGGTACAACTTTGCAGAGTTCAACCCTGCAGGAGGACAGGGAGCTCAACTTGGGACTTGTAGCCAGAAATCTGCCTGAATCTCATGGGTCTGCGACTGGCTTGCTGAGACTCATTGACTTTTATCTGCACACTCCTGCCCATGTTGTCTATTGTGACATCAGAGACATAAACTGAAGGAGGCCCTTCATTTTTATTTTTTGTTATTTTGAAAATTATTATTATTATTTGCTCTTATTTTTAATTTTTCTCACTTTCTACTCTTTTCAAATTTTTATTTTTCTCTCCCTTTTTTCTTTCTGTTTTCTCTATCTCTCAAACTTGCTCTCTTGTCACACATTTTTCTTGATCTCCATTTTTGTTCCTGTTCTGGCCCTAGTTCATATTTCTTCTTTATTTTTCTTTTCTTCTCTTTTTCCTTCTCTTACCTATATCCTCTGGCGTCACTGCTAACCTTCCCCTAACCTTTTACCTACCTATCCCTCCCTGCCCAACTCCTCATAACTCCCCATCCCAAAGGGTAAAGTTGCTATATTGGAGAGGTCATTCATTATAAACATATGTTGGGCTGGTCCTCAATTTTGACTTAATTCACAAAGTTAAAGGTGATAGATTAATAACTACCACAAATTGTCATTTTCTAAGATGGACTTGATGCTATGGTGTTGCTGAATGCATCACTTGGGCTAAGGTGTCATGATTGATCTAATCAGTTGTCCTTCCTGGTATAATGAAAATGAGACAGCCTCAAAGTCATTAGAGACTCAAAACCTAAAGACCAGCTATATCTGGAAGACACCTCTGAGAAGCAATCATTCCATAAGGGTTCTAAATACAAGCAACAAAGATACTTACAATAAGCAACTTCGAAGTATCAACCCAGGATTTAAACCAAGGACAGTACCAAAAACAAAAATGAGAAGACATTCAAGCAAGTCACAAACTCAGACTTCCACCCCATCAAAGGCAAATTCTGAGGGAAAAGAGGTAGAAAAGTCTGATAATCAACAACCTGGACACCCTGAACTAATAGCATGGAAGTAACAAAAGAGTAGCACAAGATGGATGAGGCCCTAGAAAAATTCAAAACAGAAATAATTTTCCAGGTAACTACAGAGATGGTAGGCAGAGTGAAAGTCATGATTAGAGGCTCTAGAACAGAAACAGATAAAAAAATAGATGAGCTCAGAAACATCCTAGAAGCCATGAATACCCAGCATAAGAAAGAAATGGAATCCATGAAACAGATTCAAAGAGATATTAAGGAGATTAAAAACTCCATTGAAAGTATGCACAGCAGATTAAGTGAATGTGAAGATAGAATATCAGATATAGAAGACAGGATTTCAGTGAAAGACCATGAAAACAGAGATTTCTTAAAAATAGTATAGGACCATGAGAAATCAATTCAGCAGCTGCTAGATGATGAAAAGAAGAACAACATAAGACTGATAGCAGTCCACAAAAAAGCAGGACAAAGTAAAATTGACATAAAAACTGTTCACAGAAGTAATAGTAGAAAACTTCCCAGACAGAGTTGGAGAATTGGACATACAGATAAGTGAGGCAAATAGAACTCCAACTAACCACAATCACAAAATATCTACACCTAGACATATAATAGTCAAGATTCCAGAAACCCAACAGAAGAACAAAATCCTACAAGCAGAAAAAAGAAATAAATCACCTACAAAGGAAAGCCCATCAGAATCACAGCAGACTTCTCAACATAAAACCTCAAGTCAAGGAGAGCCTGGAGTGAAGGGTTTCAATCCCTACAATAAAATAATTTGCAACCTAGACTGTTGTATCCTGCAAAATGATTCAAAATCGATGGGGGAAATTAGACACTTCCACGACAAAGAACACCAGAGAAATTTCATAAATACCAAACCAGCACTCCAAACAATTCTAAACAATACCTTAGAAAAAGCCAATGAAGGCCAGAACTTCACAAGGCCCAACAGAGGGAAGCCACCTGGCAAGGCAAGAAACTAAAGGGAAAGGGGGAAAAGTAAAAGAGTCTGGGCTGAGGATTTAGCTCAGTGCTTTCACCGTCTGCTGAGCAAGGGCAAGGGCCCGAGTTTGATCCCTGGCACAAAAAAAATTAAATAAATAAATAAATAAATAAAAGAGCCAACAATAGTAAAACATCATGACAAGGATGCATCAGTATCTATCAATTATAACTATCAATATTAATGGCCTCAATTCACCAATCAAAAGAAATAGACTGGCAGAATGAATTAAGAAGCAAAATCCAACAATATGCTGTACACAAGAAAAACATTTAACTCAAAAAAAATTCATAGACTGAAAGTAAAAGGATGGAAAACAATTTTCCATGTCAAGGGAACCTGGAAAAAAGCAGAGGTAGCAATCTTATTTGCAGACAAAGTAGATTTCAAATCAAAATTAATTAAGAGGGACAAAGATGGTCACTACATCCATTTAAAGGGAACAATCCAAGAGAAAGAGATGACAATCATAAATATGTATCCACCAAACACAAATGCCCCCAACTTTACAAAACAAATATTAATGGACATGAAAAAGCAAATAAGCA